ATGTAGATTATTTAAAAACTTATGGTGATATTAAATTGTTTATATTTTTTTAGAAGAAAATGAAAAAAATGATTACTAAAAAAGTTAATTTAATTAAATATTTATTATTTATTATATTAGTAATTATAAAATATATTAGTTATAAATTATTCTAAATGTAATAATTTATAAGTTATTTGTATTTTTTCAAAAATTAAACTTAACTAAACTAAGTATATCACTTTTTAGAAAACAAAAAAAGAAAAAAAAGAACAAAGGATGTGATAACTACTATACTAAAAATTTAACCAATAATTATTTATGATTAACTAAGTATAAAAATTGAACAAATTTCTTTTTAATTCATAATTCAAAAACAAATTTTTAGTAAGTAAGTTAATGAATAGGATTTATTGTTAAAAAAGTTAAATGATATAATAATCAAAATTGATTATCAACTTTTATAATTTTTTTTACATTTTTTATACTACAACAAGATTTTTTTAAGTTTTTGCTACTTTGATTTTTAAATATTATATCTCAAATTAATCTAATATAATATCAAAGTATATAATCTAATGTAGTTATACAATTTATTTAAACTACTCATTAATATAAATATAATATTTTATAATATTATTATAAGACTTTTAAGATTGACTTATTATTATTATATAAATAAAAACTATGTACTAATAAATTTTCAAAAAAATGATCTTTAAACTACAATTCTAATATATGATTTAAATATTCAGATGCTATAATTAATTAGTTGAGCTAATTTAATATTATTAAGTATTTAATTAATTAATATATTAATAAGACTATTTTATAATAATTTCTATATATTGAAAAATGAAATTTAAAATAAATGAATTTTAATCAAATTTAATTATAATACAATTAATTTTTAATAGAAATAAGAAGGATTTGCCAAAAATTTATATGTTATACTAAAGGTTAGAGCTGATTTATTTAATTTTAAAAATCAGATTTAGATTTATTATATTAGATTCTGATATAATCTAATTATAAGAATATTTTTATTATACTAGCTTAGTTTTATTTACAAAATTAAAATTAAAATTTTAATAAGTCATATAAGTAATGACTAATGATACAAATAACCTAATTAGAGTTTAGAATTATTTGTATTTTTGAGAACTAGATTTAAAATGAGTGCAATGAGTTTGATTTATTTTAAATTAGTTATACAAATTTGATTGAAACTGATCTTTACAACTAATTTATATTTATTAATTATATAATTATTAAATTTGTATAAAATAACTTATAGAATTCTACAATATTTTATATGAGATAAATCTGGGTTAAATTGTGATGGCTAATTATTTTATAATAAATATTTCTCATATAAATTCATGAAAAATTCATATGAATAAAATGTTTCTACATAATTTCATAAATAATTCATATACAGTATATAGTAATTAATTATTTATCTTCTATTAATTATTAAAATGATAAGCTTACTACTATCTATATTTTTTGGCTTAGAAATAATTGATAATACTAATTTTACAATATTAGAAAATAATATTATTATACAAATTCAATAAACTAATTCAACTCAAAAAAACTGCAGCTATATAATATTTTTTTTATGTAAAAGTAGATTAAGCCTATTATAAAATTTGTGAAATAAATTTACAAATATAAATAAAAAGCTTATGACTATAGTTGAAAGGAAGGAAATATAATTAATTTGATAGTATATTTAAGGATAAATATAATATATCTAAGAATAATTATTTAGAATATTTAGATAAAAATGAAGAGGTAATTTAATTTTATTATTAAATAATTAGATTTGTTATACATAAAATCTTATGAAATATATTAAATTATTTAATAGCTACATGTTGAATCCACCAATCTTGATTTTCCAATATCATATTCTCCTAGATGATAAGAGTTAATTACTAGTAAAGTTACTATATTTATTATCAAAAATGCTTTATATATTCTATAAAATTAAGGTTTTCAAGATTTTTATTAATATATAAGCTAAATTATAAAATTTCTTATAGTAAATCTATTAAAAATATAATTGGTTTAGCTTATATTAGAGTAAAGAGTAATTTCAGATCTTATTAAAAAGAACAGCAGTAATAGTATATTTTACAACTAACCTTTAGATATCTAAATCTCATCATGATTATATTAGAGTAACAGTAATATAATTATTTTCAGATTTTGAATTTTAAGAAACTCTATTGATATATAATCATCTTTTTATTTTCATAGTAAAATCATTTGTGATAAATTGTTTTAAATTTTAGAAGATTGAGATCTAATTTAACAACTTTTTAGTAGTAACTAAAAATAGTGTGAATATGATAAAAGCAGTTCATTTATTAAAAGAAAATTATTTTGATTAAATTTAATACTAACTTTATGTTATTCATATTTTGTAGCTTTCAGTAATGAAAGGTTTAAAATAGTATAAAGCATTTTATTATTGAATAAAAAGTTTATAGAATTTTTTTACTTATCTAAGTAAGCTAAATACTTCATATAGTATAACAGAATTTTCAAATAATTTTACCTAAAATAAATATATAAATCCATTAGAAATTTTGACAGGTGTTAAAACTAAATGAAATTTAACATATTTAGCATATAAATGAGTTTTTAAGTTGTATAATTTTATGAAAAATATTTCTAAAGATCTACTTTTAAAGTTTAATTAAGAATCTCAAAAAAAGAAGTAAGATTATAATGATTATATTTAAGTTCAGTAAATTTGCTTATATTTTATATAAATTTAAATTTTTAATTAATTTTTTATTTTCTTTACAGAAACCTATTGATTTTGAAAAATATAATAGACATATTACTGATAAATAGCAACTATATATTAAATATATAATCAAAATATTTTAATATTTATGATGTAATTATAAGATGATTAACAGATAGATAAGGTAGATTTATAATATCTTTTATATATACCAAAATTTTATTATAAATTTACACTTAATAATAATTTACAAAATAACATAATTAATGATAAATACTTTGAAATATGTTTTTTAGCTTTCAGAAATATTACCACAATATTTTATATATATAAACACTATATGTAACAAATATACAGAAAGAAATACAAATATAATCAAATTATTTGCTTTATAACTTCACTCACTCAATTATCATATTGATTAGTAAATTCAATTACTATTTTACTCTTCTGATTTAATAATTCAAAAGCTCTTGCACTGGTAATACCCTTACTATTCTGAGTTTAGTTAGTATTTTCAAGTTAATAGTGTCTTTATCCCACTTTTTAATAATCATTTGTGTATCATTCTTAGTTCTCATTGCAATTAAAACTATTTTAATAACTGTCTGAACAAAGAGTCTAAGTTTTGTGACAATTACTAAATTTTTTCTTAATTTCTGTTGGTCAGTCACTTTTAGATACATGTAAAATAATTATTTTCACACGTTCTCAATTATGAATTCATCTAACTCACTATATGGTTCTTTTACCCTATTAATTAATTAGTCAAGTAGAATTAATAGTAATAGTAATTATAATAATAATGATTAAATAATTTATAATATTTTTATCATATTATTATTACAAACCTTTCGTGTATTATTTTAAATTCATTTGCGAGTTTTAAAATAGCTATATGAAATTTATAGCGATAGGTATTAAACCATCCACCTACATCTTTAACTTAAGTTCCTATTATCAGGTCAGTTTTGATGATTTTACATACTCAAATAATAAGCTCTTCATATAATGCTGTTGTATTATTTCTTGTTCAAAGGAAAAGTGCTTTACATTCTTCTTATAATTGTAATTTAATATGCTAATTATAAAATAAATATTAGTATGATTTTATTTTTATTTTTGTTTTTTTTTGAATTTTTATGAAAAATCAACATTGTTTTTATTACTTGATCAATTTCTGGAGGTGTTAATACAGATTCATAAAAAAATCATTGTATTAAAGTATATGTAAATGTCAAAACTATATCAGATTTTTTATTAATCTCATTTGCCATTCCATCTCTATATTTATTGCTAAATTTAAAATTCTTTTGTAGTGAGTTAACCAATAAGCAATTTCAAACTCATTGGATATATTGTGAATTATGCCAGTTGCTTTAAATATAAGTTAGCTTCAATTAAAATATCCTTAATTTGCTATTACGTTTCTTCATAATCTTGTGTTGATCGCTTTTCTTCAGAAGAATGTAAAATCATTGATGATTCTGTAGAATAAAGTGCAGTTGATGTATGATTATTATTGGGTAATGATACAATGGAAGAGTTATCCTGTTGATTTTGATCTATAATTTCATCATCTGATAAAACAAATGTAGTTAGACTTACAGTTTCAACATCACTTAATAGAAAATCTGATGTTTGGCAATTTTTTGTTTTTGATTATTTTTTCATGTTATTTTTGCAGAATTTGTTTTTTGTATCACTCTCGTAGAAGTTGTACTTGAATCTAATAATATATTTTGACTGTTTTTTTGTTTTTGATTTATTTTTTGTATTGCTTCTGCAGGAATTATACTTAAATTTGCTTTTCATGTTTGTGTTTTTCTCACTGAAGCCTTTTTTGCCAGAGTAGTTTTATTGTTTAAAATTGTAAGCAAGATTATGTGTAGTATTGATTAAAAACATAATGCTATAACAGGAACAAATATTAATAAATTTTGTAACATATTCTCATTCTTGTCAAACGGTTTCAATTCTATATTATAATAATAAAAGTTTTAAATAAATAGATAATATTTATTTAAGAATTTTTTAATTTACTAAATTTTCGTTTAGTTATATTAAAGTACAAATGAAAATTAGAAAAAGAAGTTTGTTTAAATTTGAAAATAATGATCAATTAAATACGAAAAAAAAAATCAATTAAAGAATTATCTGGATAATATTTAATCAATTAATCACAAAAGTTTTTAAACATTCTAATTTAAATTAATCCATTATAAAAGCCTTAAAAGTCTTAAAAAGTATTTATATCATGATTTTACATCAATCAATCGCAGAAGTCTTAAAAAGTCTTTACATCAATCAATCGCAAAAAGTCTTTTATATCTTAAATTGGTTAATATTTTCTAATTCAGAAATCAATACCGTAAATAAAAAAAATTCTGATAATTACAAATTACATAAGCAAATAATATTTTTTTTTCTTTACTGTTTACAGTATACAGTTTATTTAATATCTATATAGTCAATTTATATTTTATTTTATCAGTTTTAATAAAAGTTTAATTATTATACTATAAAAGCATATGTATCATTTTTTCATTTTAAATCAATTGTTTTACTCAAAAAAAAAATAAATAAATAATGAAATGTCTAAGAAGAATTTCCCATACATATTATGCATTGATCCCAAAGTTACATGTTAGATCATCTAAAAAGATACAAAATGAAGAAGATAATGAATCTTCTATATCTTTTGATAATTCTTCAGAATATATTGATAATGTAGAAGACATCTCATATGATAATATTTTGAAACATATTAATACAGAAAGTATTGCTTCAACGAAAGACATTTTGTATGATAATGTTTTGAAATATATTAATACAGAAAGTATTACTTCAGCTATCGAAAAAGAACTGGAGGTAGAGAACTCTAACAGTTATATCTTATTAGAAATAATGATAAATGAGATCAATTAATATATTTTAATATTATAAATCATAACAGATGTTATAGAAAATTTCAGAAATCCTAATAACATATATTTTATAATTTCAAGGATTTGATGAGCAAATGCAGAACTACCAACTTTCATATAAACTGTTACTTAATACTGAAAAAGAAGAATTTTTTGAAGATTATGATCTGTTAAAAGAAAAGTCTTCTGATTTTAAAGGCTTCGATGGGAAATATGGTCCATATTTCCTAATTTTATATCAGCAATGCTTTTTATCTGAATTACCAAACATACGATATGTGGGTATTATTTTGAATGAATGAGTTTAAAATAATTAATATACTAACATAATGATTTATTCACATAGCAACCTCTGCATATGAAGATCTCTTTAAGATTCTTATTCATCCTAAATATTGAAAAGAGGATCTTACTGCAAATATTCACTAAATTTGTAAATAGTAAGATAGACTACTATTAGTTAAAGTATACAAATACGAAGTACCCCTTTGTATGCAACGAATATCATCTATATATGAATCTACTAAAACAGTATTTACCATTTATCTGATAATGTATTTGAAGTGTATTTTAAATAATCGAGTATTTATGTCAAAGATGTACTTTAAACCCAAAGTGATTACAGATAAATGCTGAGAATTTTGGCATGGTGAACTCTGGCAAGATTCACTAATGTTTGAAGAACATGAAATAGAAACCAACAACAAAGGTTAGTAATAAATTTTTTATAAAATTTATATTTTAAAAAATAATAACTATTTTTTTACTAGTATATAAAGCAGGCAAATTTTTAGAATACTGTAAACAATCTTCAATATTTATATATCATATACGAAGTGTAGTAATTGATGAAACTAATAATAATTCATTTAAACTAAAAATTGATTGAATCTTTTTACATGAGAATCTTCCTAACTGCTGTTTAACAAATAACTGACATACTTGTAAAAATGGTAATAAGTTATGGTTAGTTGAAGGTAAAGTAAATTTAGTTGATCTAGTGAATATAGAACAACGTATTATTGTTTAATTATGTGATATATCAGAACCTGAAGAATATGAATATTATATCAAAGAAATTGTATATCAATTCAATAGTAAATGGAAATTCTGTGATATAAAAATGTGGCATTAATTACCTTATAAATATATTATATTTACACGATTACTACAACACCTTTCAATTTTAAAGATTTTTATAGACATTTATTTCAATAATTTTAGTACTTATAGAAACGTGTATCATTCCTTATGTGGAGTGTATTTACAGTTCAAAATATGTCATTAACATTTTGAAAACAGTTAAAGAACCATTTTTTAATAGGATTTGTTCCATTTGAAGCAAATTTTGATGATTTTATTAAACCAGTTCTTCAGGATATAAAGAGCTTAAAAAAAGGTCTTATTATGAGAACTTTGAATAGTAATGCAATTTTTATAGGTGGTATTGGTTGTATTACTGCTGACTTGTCACAAGGCAATAACTTGGCAGATGTGAAAAGACATAATGCTAAATACAGATGCTGAACATATAATGTTCTAAATGATCAATATACTACAGACCCCTGCCAAAAGTTTCTGAACACTTTTTTACCCAATATTAAACTCAAAATTTTTATGCAAAACAATAAAA